TGCTGACTTTCCTCGTCCACGAGCTGCGGTGAGGGTGACCGTGCTGCGAAGCGTCTTCTCGACGATGGCCTCCACGAATGTCAGAAGAGCCTTGGCCTGGTCTACTGTCTTTGCAAGCTTGACAAGATCTCCTGTGGGAGGCGAGTCTGCCAAAGATTCCTTAATCTCTGCCAGCTCTTTCGCCTTCGGCGTCTTGCCTTCCAGCTCTAGGTCTGGTGGAGGCAGCTGCTTGACATGCTTTCCGCCTGAGATGGGTAGAACATTCAGCTCATCGTCGACGACCAAGCAGCTGTCGCATTTCCCGAGTGACAGCAGGAAGCGCTCGTTAAAGCGCGCTACCACGTCACTATGTGCCTCCGTGCGATACCTCGAGTGGATGTCCATGGACATTGTGTACAACTGCTTCAAGCTGCTCATGCCCTTGAGCAGCAATATGACCAATCCTCCACCCTCGACCGTCTCGATTGTCCTCGCGAGTAGGTTCGGCGTAAGCGCTTCGAAATCCTGTAGGATACACATGCCGTACGTGTTACCCAGAATCTTGTCGGTTTCCTTGTAGTAGACATATCGGATGTTCTGCGTCGAGACGAATAGTTCGAATGGGTCTTCGGTGTCGACATCGCGGATGCCGCGCTTGAGTTCGTTCTTGATCTTCTTCTCGCGCTTCTTGCGGTGACTTGAGAATCCCAGCAGCTTGTTCTTGTATGCCCACAGCACCGACTTGTTCAACTTGACGTCCACGTTCAGCAGAATGTGGTAGAGGTTGACAATGACGTCCTTTTGGCGATCGCCGACAACTACAAAGAAGCTGCGCTTCTTCTCCTGGGCGCCATTGCGAATCAGGGCCGGTATACGGGAGTCGATGGCTTTCTTCGGCATCTTGAGAGCTCCGCAGGCGTCGCCGCCTCTAGTTCGATAGCGGGTGTGGTTTGGGTGGCGCACGCGATCTATCGGCTGATTTCGGGTCGCGGAAGAGTCTCGTTTAGATTGGAGGGCGGTGAATTCTGTTGCCCGTGTTGTGGTGGGTGACGAGCTGCGTGCTAAGGAAAAGTTCGAGCCGTCGCGATGCCCGAGAAAATAATCCAGGATCCTTATCGATAAGAGCAGCCTCACGCTACCTACGCGCTACGATGCGAGCGCGTTGACTTTAACCAAAACTTTGAACACATGCATTCATTTTCATCTGCTTATTGTTCACTCTCAAATGGATCAGTCACTCATAATGGGAGATTCATTGACAAGAATTATGATCGTACAAGCTTCGTATGCCGTTCACGGTCAAGACAACGAAACCATACATATGGCGATCTCGAACCCACCAATGCATAGGGACGTGCTATATGGCAAAAGCTCACTACCGAAACACTACTCAATGGTTCCCGCCTTCCGAGCCTCAGTGTACGTCTTCAATCCCACATGTTTATTGATCCAATCCAACACAACCGTATGCCACATGAGCCCATTCTCCGGCTTCAGCACCCAATGGTTCTCATCCGGGAAGGTCAAGAACTGACTCTCTATCCCTTTGCATTGAAGCACATTGAATGCTGCTAGTCCTTCACTGATGGTGAGCCTGTAATCCAGTTCGGAGTGAATGACCAACTGAGGCGTGGCCCAATTCTCTGTGAACCTGGACGGATCCCACTTGGCCCAGTTCTCGGGGTTATTCCAGAGCGTTCCCTTGATATCGTGGAAGGGGAAGTACAGTTCTTCAGACGCCATCTGTCCCGACATGCTGAATACGCCGTCATGGGTTACTAAAGCTCTGAATTCGCGTCCGAGAGGGTGTCCTTGGATCCAGTTCATCATGTATCCGCCATAGGAGGCGCCGAGGGCAACGGCTCGCTTCGTGTCGACGTAGCTGACATTCTGCTTTATGTAGTCGAAGCCCAACACGAGGTCTTCATACGGCAGACCGCCCCACTGGCCTTGGATCGCATCTGTGAAAGCTTGTCCGTAGGATGTGCCTAGAAATGATGTCAGTATGCATCTACTATACAGTTTTTGGTACGAGGTTCACGTACTTCCTGTAGGGTTTGGGCAAATGACAACGTAGCCTTGCTCTGCGAATACTGCAGGGTTCCAACGCGTACTCCATCCATCCGTCCATGCACCCTGGGGTCCACCGTGGATGAGGTAAGCGAGGGGGTATGTTTGGCTGGACGAAAAGTTGCTGGGCTTTATAACCCAGGCGTGGACGTTGGTACCAGATGCAGCGCCATCCCAATAGATTTCATCGATCTGGTGGCGCGACAGACCAAACATGGACCCAGAGCGAGTATTGGAAGAGATGTACTTGGTTGTCAGATTATCAGGGTCTGAGTCGTATGGCCGATCGTCGATGGGAAGATCGTAGACGGCGGTGTCTTTGCTTTGCGTGCTTAGCGGGACCAGTGAGTAGAGAGAGTTCTCGACCAAGCTGGTGGAAGCCAAGAAAAGATCGCCATTCTTGAGCACCTGTACTGAGCCGATGGTCCCACCCAGAACTAGTAGTGATGGCAGAGGCTCCTTCTCGCCGCCAGGCTTAGGAGGTCCGGCACTGTATAGGTTTCCACGCCCACGTGATTCAGCAGTGAAGTAAAGGCGCCAGTCGTCAGGGCTCCAAGATATTGACTGTGGGCTTCGGTCCCATTTACCCTTGCCGTCTTCAGATCCGTAGAGTAGGGTGACCTCTGAAGGTTTCTTGTAATCGTGGATAATGAAGGGTTGGTTCTTGTCTGACTCGTAGCCATCAGTCTTCATAGAGAGGAAAGCGATCATGCCACGCGAGTTCGACCAGACAGGAGATGTGCTGGCACCCTCGAAGCCTTCGATGGATACATTTTCAATTTGTGGCTGGTCCTTGAAATGAAGATCATCCCAGAATGTTTCAGACGCGGAAACGTAGATGTTGGTCTTCGTGTGTGTCGCAGGGTTCAGGCCAGGATCTTTCGCTGTGAAGACCAGTCCATACTTGGATATGTCGAAGTGATCCTTTCCACCAAAAGGCTCGATCGGCGACTCCAACTCCGTTCCCTTTAGCGCATTTATCAGAGGATATCCAGGGTTGGCACCTGTATCTTGGGACTTCTCCGACTTCTTCAAGATGAACTTACCAAGCCAGATCGCGTTCCGGTTCTCCGTCACGTAATGATCCCAATGGCGAACAAATCCGGACTTGTAAAGCTTGCCTGAGGAGTGCGGCTTCTCGGCCAGCTCAGGGTTGAACAGCGTACCATCTGGCTTCGCCTTACCGACTACAGCGAAACCGAAGGTATCATCACCGAGGGCAAAGATTTTGGCGTCGCTTACTGGGCCATCAATGTGTACAGCAGTATGTTTGCTGAGCGCCGTTTAGCAGTCGCACACTCATTTGGGGAGTATTGTACCTACGTCTTCTCGAAGTTGTATGGGGAGCCAACAACCATCTTCGTGGTGCCATCATCATTCGACTTTAGCAATAATACAGTCTCATCGTCAAGCCACGAAGGCTCGCTGAAGGATGCATCATCTGTCACGAGACTGGTCTGCTGGCTTGCGGCATCCAGAACGCGAATCTCGGATTTCTTTGAATGTTCAGCGAAGCTGTATGTCGAAACCGCGTATATGACTTTTGATGCATCAGAGTTTGGGACACCTCCGGAACGGCGTGGCGCTTCGAGTAGCACCTCGGGCGTGAACTTGGAGGCTCTGATCGTCATACTGGTATTGGCCTCAAGAGAAGGTATCTTTGTAATATGTTAGTCGGGTGCTCAGAATGGATCAATTCTCGTGTTTAGGTTTTAAACCACTGTGTTGAGATATAGGATCGTTCCGTTGGAGACGCTCGGAAGCGGTGTAGATGTAGCTGTACGGATACCACGTATGGCGTAGAGCCGACCATGGGATGCTAGGGAGGAACAAGATCATCAGATCATAAAGCAGATCATTGATTGAAGAGTGCATGCAGCTTTTGCCTTTGGCTAATGTCGAGCATCATACACTCAGAGAAGCAACGACCTCGGACACCCGCCACGTGGATAGAACCTTGGAAGGGTGTCTACGGATCGATGAAGGCTTGAAATCATGACTTACTCAATGGAAGGCTTCTCTCAGGATATGAGTAACGAGTGTATCCGACAGGTGAGTGATGGCGATAGTTGTGAAGCAAGCAACGCGGAAGGGAGCACCGTGGTAGATGTCTCACGGTCCAACTAAGCGGATGTGGTTGGCCGATCCCCTCACGCGGGCGGGCACCAGCCACCCCACCGGCTAGCGGCGTTCTTTGTGTCATCACTCACCGACGTTTGCATTGCCCCGCCTATGATATCTGTGCGATGTACAACAATTCCGATCGATGGGTACCGGCTACATTCAGCTCTCCCACATCAACGTACTGACAGTATATATGTTCCAATTTGAAAAATGTCCAAAAACAAGTCCAGGGACAACAAAGTCCTGTGGCGCAGTGGTAGCGCGCCGTTCTTATAAGATTCGTCAGACTCTTATGACCTCATCTCAGGTTATGCGGATGCCGTGGGTTCGAAGTACGTGATTTCCTGATTACCGTGATTCGATTTCCTATACTAACAGTTCTTCCAGCCCCACCAGGACTAGTGATCTCTCACCTTTTTTTGCCATTTTCCTTGCAGTCTGGTTGTACTTGCGGGCCTTATCTTTTGCTGGCGGGGCTACCCTTGCGTAGTACTGATCTCTACACTTCTAAACACCTGCTACGAACTAGAAAGGAAAGCGCATATGCTGAGCATGCGAAGAGCATTTTACTATTAATCGTAATAGTCAAGCCATCAGCTACTACTCCACACCTGTCCTACTCTCTGTTGACATCGCTATGCATTCTGAGGTTCCGGGGAATGGGGAAGAGGGACATTCATCAAACGTATAGTGACCTGTACATGCATTGCTATCTAGAGTAGGAATACATTTCACTAGAGGAACATACAAACATAGTCGCAATGTCAAAGTGCATGAACACATTGTTCTCTACTGTCAATCTCCGCCTACCAGCGCACCTTCCCCTTTCATCCATCCCAAGCGGGCGCCGACCACTCCATCACCGTGTCCACTCGCTCTACCTCTTTCCTCTGCTGAACGGTTCCTACCCGCTGTACCACCTCTCGATACTCCTCCTCACCCCTCTCAAACAAAACAACCAGCTTCCTCCCACACAACGCAGCCAGCGCCTCTTCCACCCTCTTCTTATCAGGAAAGAGCCGCTTCTTGCCCGTCCAATCCACAACAACTTTCTCCAGTTTATCCAGCATACGTAGCGCTGATCCAACTAGCCCAAATCCACAAGGTGAAATCGTGTGTTCCAGCGCTACAGACTGCGCGGTTGCCCACCCTATCTTCAGCGAGCGGATAGAATGGAGCTGGGCTGGTGACAGGCGGCGTAGAGTAGTGCCGAGGTCCCCCAGGTTGGTGCAGGAGATGGTGTTGTGGTAGAAAGGCAGAAGGTGTGTTTCCAAGTAGAATTGTCGGGATGTGAGGATTGCGGCGAAGGGGTTTCGCGTTGTAGTCTTGGTGTCGTTGATGTCAAGACACATCATCAGTTCATCTATATCCATCTCCTTTGTCTCGTCAATGTCGATATCCATCTCCTCTGTCTCGTCAATATCCATCTCCATCGTCTCTTCTTCCTCTTCCTCCACGAGTGTTTCTCCCTCGAGATCCGCATCAAGGGAGAGGAGTTGAATAACCTCGCCCGTAGTGAACGCAGATTCGTAAATGCGCTTGCGGATATCGCCTGGTAAGTTGAAGAAGGCTGAGTCTGAAGAGTTTTGTATGCCGAGATCTAACATTTCTTGCGTGGCCTGGGCTTTTCTGGTTTTCTGGTTGAGCATCTTGGGGGTGAAGCGGATTTTAGGTTGGGAGTTCAGAGACATGGCGCTTGATGTTGGTGAGGCTGTCCGTGGTACAGGCGTGAAGGCTGGAGTATACAGTAAAAGTTATCGGCAAGAAAGGAGCTGGGAAAGGTTGATGTAGTTGACAGGCTTGTTGATGATCGTGCGAATGTTGCTGGGATACCATTCGTATTATACCAGGCTCATACATACTTCCGCCCAAGTGTACTATGGATGAGATGTCGGAACCTTGGTTCGTGATGGTTGACGACCAATCGAAACATCAGCTTGCCGATGACAAGTCGTAACTCCAACTTTTCCATCGACGCACATGACACCAAGCGAGGAACCAGAATAGAGTATTAGAAATTGGATTGAGAAGAGAAAAGGACGTCGCTATTCTAAAAATCCGCTAAACACACCATGGTATACGCTGCGCCGTCATTATGTACCCTGGGCAAAAAGCCCGAACCAGTCATGTACCCAAATCGTAATCTCATTACCAATCCAATCCCTCCTCACCCATTACTTCCAAATCTGCCACTTCTTTTTCCGCTTCGGTACCACGAAGCTATCCTGGCTCATCTCCTGCTCCTGTCCGCTGAGACTAGCCTCATCGTCATCAGCGCTATCGAAGCTATCTTCATCTTCGTCCTCGTACCTGCCTCCGCCGAGGTACTTTGCACCTACTCCTGCAGTGCCGTTGCGTTGGGGGTAGGCTGGGTATGAAGAGGTGCGGTCGTAACCGCCTCGTTGTGGTTGTGCGGCGTAGTCGGCGCGTTGGACTGGTTTCTCGGTGTACTCTGGGTCAACGACTTGACGCGGTGCCGTGGCGGGATGGGTCTTGCCGTCTCGACCGCCGCTGGAGAAGTAGTCGCCGCCGGCTGTGTCTTGTCGTGCTTGGAGACCTTGTCCGTCTCGCGAGTAGGGCGAGTTCGGTCCGGCGCCGACGATCGCTGGATGTGGTGGGTATGATTCCCTCTTCGCCTTCCTTGGTGTTTGTGCAGGTGTATGAGCGGCCACGTGAGCATCATGCTCCCACTTCTTGTCGTGCGAGTGCTGGTTCAAGATACCACCCATAGATCTTCGCTGCACCTTGGGTTCTATCTCCGGCGAAGGCGCAGGGAGTTGCGACTTGTGAGACGAGTTATAGGTAGGCTGCTTGCGCGTGGAGGCGGAGCGAGATGGCATCGCTGTCGCTTGGGTCGCAGTCTGGGTAGCGGGAGGAGCTACTGGCATGCTGACGTGCCGTTTTGCGGCCACGTTGTCCCAGGCAGCAGCTCTGGACGAGGTACCCGCAGCTGCATCCAAGCTTCTTCGTCCTTGACTTTCTGGAACGAGATCGCGAGGGATTCCGTTCGTTTGGTTCGGAGCTACAGTTGCAGCTGCGTTAGCATGGAAGCCTGAACTTAGACGGTTCTCTCGGGCAGTGGGAACGGGAGCTGCGGGGCCAATGGCAGTGACAGGGGCAGGCTCAGAGCCACGCCTGTTTTGAGACCCCATACTGGGCATGACTATCCGAGGTCCGACCTTGTACCTTTGCTGGATGCGGTCTTCTTCTTCCTCACTAGACATCTCCCCGAGCTCACTTCCGCTTTCGCTACCCGAGATGGAATTTCCGTCATCACCGATCGTCGCTTTGCGCTTGCCACCGAATGAGCCAAAGAAACCACGGGATCTACCCCTTTCTTTCTCGACGACGCCCTCCTCAGGCTCGACATAAGTAAGCGCTGGCACGAGCAGTCTGTACGGCGTGGTGATACCGGCCGGGTCGTGCTGTGATACCTCGACGTTGAGACAGATGTCGAGACCACCCTCAAGGTTGACATATGGGCCGTGGTGTCGCTCGGTCTTCTTGGTCAGTACGCTAGGTCGGCGGTGGAAGGTGGAGGGTCGATCTTGAGACACACTGTGCCGGCTCAAGGTTGGTGTTGTAGTCTCAGACGTGTCAGGACGGGCGACGTCTACTGACGCACGACGACGGAAGAGCGATGTTAGAGAATTGCGTCGCGAACGAGTGGGTCTCTCTGGCTCTGATCGGTCGGGCGAGAATGAAGATTGTGGTTGGTGGTGGCCGATCTGAACTTCATCGGCCGCGGCATACGAAGGGTTGTTGCGATAGGACACAGGTGGTCCGCGGCCTCTTACCGAAGGTCTTCTCTGTTGACCACTGAGTCTTCTAACTAGCTGCCCTGGTGCAAAGTCTGACATCGTTCTTCCCATGCGCGGTCCGTTCGCAGGGGTCGTGGGTGGCGATGGCGTTCCTGGTGGTGAAGATCCTGGCTTGTACTCTCGAATGCTGCACCAGTTTCGGTGTGGTAGCAAATGCGTATTGTTCCTCTTCTTGCCGTCGACGCCGTGAGTGAAGAGGGGGATCATGTCTTCATCTGTTTCTGAATCGAGATGGTGTATCTTGTTGCGCTTGTTGATGATGTCTGCCATCACGTCTGGAGGCGGTGTGTTGACAATGGCGGAAGACACAACATTCGGCATGTATCTGTGATCCTTGTCCTTGGGAATGTTCAGCTTCTTGTTGCTGTAGAATTGTCCGACTGCCGCTAGATGAACATCACCACCAAGTATGGTAACGCGCACAGACTTTGTCGAGGCAATGTGTTGCAGCTCCTTGATGAACCAGTTGCGCTCTTCTTTGTGGTGCTTGGCTGTCCAATGATCGTCTAGGTCATCCAGGATCTCGACGCCTCCATCGAACTTGTTGACGAAGTTGCCTAACATTCCTGCGCGGCCGAGAGCCTTGAGAGGATCCATAAGCCTGCTTGTGAGGATGTTCTCGAGGAAGTTCAGGCGGGGGTAGGCAATGGGTACTCCAAGGAGCACGATCAGGTGCTTAGTCTCACCCTTGATGATCTCATCTTCCAGACGATCGAAGATGATGTCGTAGGAGTCCTCTGTGAGGATTTCGTCACGCTGTCGCTCTGTACGGCAGTCAAGACCAAGGAAGGCAACCTGACGACCGAGTTGCATGAAGACACTTCGAGAGCGCTCCTTGATATACGGGCCAGGGCTCTTTCCAAGTACCCATGACGGTTCGGTCTTGTCGGTTTCGGCGGGTACGGACTGATGTTGGAAGAGCATGTAGTACTTGAAAGCAACGGCACCAACACCGGTGAATACTGGTGTTTGCATGAAGTGATGAGGGTATGATCCGAAGCCGTCAATGATGTCGTGGTCATCCCAGATGTTGACCATTGGGATCTGTGAGTTGGCCATGCCAAACAAACCCTGGGAGAACCACATTGCATACCGATCCAGGTAGAACTGCTCCAGCTCGTTCTGCATCTCTTCAGAGAATGTCTGATGGTGCTTGTGCATGGGGTTTCTGTTTTCCGTCCATTGTCTGAACAGAGTCGTTTGCCTCATTACAGCGTCGTTGTAAATCTGATCACCTCCACCGATCATCACGTGGAATGGGCGGGTTTGGTGCGTATTCAGTACATCGCGCCACATCGGGTCTGGACCACAGAACTCATTCGCTTCAACAGTGGCTGAGAAGCCGTTGCAGCTGTGAAACATAATGTTCATAGACTCTCCCTTGGCTGGGACCCAAAATCCGATGGCAGGACCTTGGTTGATCTTGTAGGCAATGCGTGTCTGAGTACTGCTAAGTTCGACTTCGATGTTGAAGCGCCAGAAGGTCACGCCTCGCTCAGCATACAGGCGTATACCGGGGAAATCACGGACTTTGCCAAGCTTCTCGCCGTCCTTCTTGTGAATGCGGGTCGACTTAGAACCCGATCCGTTCGTTGTGCTTCGAGTCGTGGAGAACAAACCGGTGTCGTCTTCAATGCGCGATAGGTCCTCGTCCTCTGCGAGTTCGTCAACCGGCTTGACGTATAGCGCCTCACCAGTACGCGACACTTTGACTTGGCCTTCGATGGGATCGACGTAGGATGGGTCCAGCTGGTCCTGGCTAATTTCCTCCGGCGGAGGCGGAAGTATGTCCATTGGCTGCTTGAACAATCGCAACGTCGGCGGCTTGGCATACGAAGAAGAGGCGTCAACAGTAACAATCATGATACTGCCTCTCCAGATCTCACGCTCACGTCCGGGAACGCTGCGATCTCTCCGAAGACCGGTGTAGCGTAGGAGCGGTCCACACTTGAGGTATAGTGGTGGATTGAAAGCAGTGTGTGTGGGGGCATCGTCGGCATAGCCATCGTAAGTTGGCTCCGCGTATCCGCCTGAACGTCTTCGTCGAGAGGCCTTGCTCTCTTCCCACCATGCTTTGTTGCCGCTATTGGCTTTGACTGGTGCGTCTAGATCTAGATCATCTGCAGTAAGGAGACCGATCGGTGCACTTCTCCATTCCTCGAGCATAGGAGCGGGTGTGTAGGTCCTTTCCGGCTCGCTGTGATGGCGGGAGTAGCGATGTTTCTTCTCGGGATCGTGTTGCTCTAGGTCCGACTCGGATTCGGAGAACATGACGCTCTTGCGGTTAGTTTGAGGGACAGGCGGGATCGGCGGTATTTGAACGGTCTGGGGAACGGGAGGGATCTTGCGTGGCAGTTGCTGAGTATCATTCTCCCGTGGTGATCCTTTGTAGTCGATGTCGTTTTGCTGCATTTCCATCTGTGCAGCGATGAATCCTCGGCTGTCTCTTTTCCCCTGGCCCCTCTTGCTCTCCGAACGAGATACATCGGAGGGTGTCGAAGTGTCGCGGACACCTACCAGGCCAAGTCCCGCGGGGTTGGCTACGGCCTTTCTGGGTACGTTCTGTGACGGAAGCATGCTCCGATCGCTGTAGCTGCCAGATTTTCGTGAACCCGCTGGTTCCTTTCCCTTCAAGCTGCTTCCTCGCGGTATGGCAGCATCAGTATGCGGTACCGGCTGGTAGGCCATGGGAACGACCTGCGCCTTTTGCATAGGCACATGCTGAACGGACTGAACTGCTCCACCTTGCGCGTCCGAGGGGTGCCATGGGTCGCTAAGGTCATAGGCATAGCCGTCGTCTGATTCCAGGTCACTCATGGGCGGCGACATGGGTGGGGACATTGGCGGCGACATGGCTTTGTCCTGGAACG